AAAGGTTTAGTCGGACACGAGGAATGTCATAGAGATGTTTGTGTCTGGTGTTATGCCTGTGGATCCTGTCACAACTATCAAGAAAGCACTTTAGGTCAAGGTTAATATTGGAATTTAAGGTCCTGTAGATGTAGATTGCACAGTAGTAAGTGTGGATGTTTTGAACAGGGAGTAAGTTTAGATCTATGAAGAGTGGGGGGTGTGTTGCCAGGGATGGGATTTAGTGATTATTCTTACTGCGGCTTTTTGTTGGGTTATTATTGGCTTTAGGTGTGTTGCTGCAGTTGAACCCCAAGCACAGATAGCATAGGTGAGGTATGGATATATAAGTGAATGGTATAGTGTGAGAAGGGCAGTTTGCGGCACGTAGTATCGCATCTTGGAGAGGATCCCCACCGTTTTGGATACTTTTTTTTTTGTTATGTGTTGGATATGGGTGCTGAAATTTAGGTTGCTGTCGAGGTATAGGCCAAGGAATTTGCCCTCATTATGTCTGGCAATTAGAGTGTTGTCGATCTTAATAACGTTAAGTTGCGCAACACCTGCTCTGCTACCAAATATAATATAGTAGGTTTTGCCAGTGTTAAGTGTAAGTTTATTGGCTGCCATCCAAGTCGATATTTTGAGCAGCTCCTCGTTAACAATGGTGTTGAGGGTGGCAAGATTAGGGTGAGAGATGACATAAGTCGTGTCATCAGCAAAGAGAATGGGTTTCAGGTGCTGGGATATGTTTGGAAGATCATTGATGTAAATGAGAAAGAGCAGGGGTCCAAGGACACTTCCCTGCGGAACTCAACAATGCTTGGCTTACTTAGATTATTTGGAGTTATTGGCAAGACTCTTGCTTCACACGCTGAGGGCTCGGATTCGATTCCCTGTGGGGTGGAAACATTTCGACGCATTCCTTATCTTATCTACACCTGTTGTCCTGTTTACCTAGCAAGTAAGTACCTAGGTGTTAGTCGACTGGTGTGGGTCGCATCCTGGGGGACAAGATTGAAGACCCCAGTGGAAATAAGACAGCCAGTCTCTCAATGACACACTGCCTGGGTGGCTAACTCTCCGGAGTTAAAAATCCGAAGAAAATATTATTATTTTATTTATTAAAGATTCGCCGGTATTCTCCCGGCCCCGGCCTTTTGCAAGTGGTGGCACGGCCTTGGCTCCCTGTCTAGGGAGTGTCTGAGACCTAAGTCTCCCATGGGAGCAGGCAGGGCCGGATTAAGAAGTCTCCGGGCCCTAGGCTATTCATATTGGCGGGGCCCCTTTGAGTTACGGGTAAGCGAAGCGACCCCTTCCAGCTTGGGAGTGGGGGGGGGGGGTCGGTGTGAGCCTGTTTAAGGTCTAATTAAATACATTCTGGCTATTTAGATTAAATTTAATAGGGAAAGTACATCAAGACAACCAAAACCATTTACCAACAGCCATTTTAACTATCTTGTTAAATCATGCATTTTAAAGAGAATAAACTCAAGACAGCATAGTATTACTAGATTAGGCTATTAAAGTAGTGACATCATGTACCTATTATATTCAGCATAACCACTACAGCACTATTATTCCCTTTATAAATCACTGACCATTATTGTTATCATTGCATCATGCATAAGACTATCAAATCATATAAACTACAGAAAATTGGAGAGGAATCTCCCATACTCACCCATTAGCGGGAAAACACAGCTGTTCTGATGTAAACAAAGGCGTGTTCAGTGTTGCCATCTATGGTTAGGTTTATTTATTTTTATTTTATTTTATTTCATTATTTATTTTTGTTTTGATTAATTTTTAAAAATCAATTTTACTCTCCAAACAATTGAACTTTTTAGGTAGGGACCCCTTTGCACTTGCACCATGTGCGCAGTCTTGGATGAGCCCCTGAACCCCTTGGACCGCGGGGCCCTAGGCAAATGCCTAGTTTGCCTATGCGGTAATCCGGCCCTGGGAGCAGGCACAAGTACCTCCTCATCTTTCGGACCAACTGTCCCCAGCTTCTCGTAGGGAGAAACTAGGCCTCTGTTGTGTGTCATCCCCGCCCCAAGGGGATGATGGGAATGACAGTCTTGTGAGCTGCAAGCTCTGGCTCAGGCACCTACCCTACCCTAGAAGGGCTGGGCATGGTGTCGATGGAAAATCTTACATTATTTTACCTGTGGCCCGGGAGGGCCACGGAGGGCCGGAGGGCCCGGGTTCGATTCCCGGCGGGTGGAAACATTTCGACACGTTTCCTTACACCTGTTGTCCTGTTCACCTAGCAGTAAATAGGTACCTGGGTGTTAGTCGACTGGTGTGGGTCGCATCCTGGGGGACAAGATTAAGGACCCCAATGGAAATAAGTTAGATAGTCCTCGATGACGCACTGACTTTCTTGGGTTATCCTGGGTGGCTAACCCTCCGGGGTTAAAAATCCGAACGAAATCTTATCTTATCTTATCTTCAACCCGACTGATGACTAAGAAACCAAATATACAAGTTAACCTAGCATTGAGTAACGTTTTCTTAGACTAACCATTTCATAGAAAATGTTCTATTTTTCTAAATGAGTAACTAATGAAACTTTTATGCTGCATTTCATCACAATTTCTTTTATTCAGATTAAGTAAGTAAGTAAAGTAAGTAAATAAGCAAATAAGTAAGTAAGTAAGTAAGTAAATAAGTAAGTAAATAAGTAAATAAGTAAGTAAATAAGTAAGTAAATAAGTAAATAAGTAAATAAGTAAATAAGTAACTAAGTAAGTAAGTAAGCTTATTCAGTTATACACAAATACAGTTACACGTAGCGACCAGTGAAGAGGCGGGGCCAGGAGCTAGGACTCGACCCCTGCAACCTCAACTAGGTGAGTACAGATTATCATACATAACAGCATATATGTAGAGAACCCAGGATAACCCAAAAAAGTCAAAGTGACTTATTTCTAAAGCCAATACACAAGGTAAGAATATATATACCGACAGGTTTGTATTTCTCAGTATATATACGCTAAGAATTTACAGTAATGTCGCATTCCTTGGAGATTTAAGGGTCTTTGACTAATGGTGAACAGGTTACATTCAGCCTTGGTGACCCTTGTGTAATAGTTTTTTTTTTTTTACGCAAATCAATTTTACAGGTTAAGAGCTGTTATCCTACCTCAGCTCATTTCAAAGCCCAGCCCTATCTAAGGTATACTATCACCCCCCAGGATGCCACTCACACCAGTTGGCTAACACCCAGGTACATGTTCATTGCTAGGTGAACAGGGGCAGCAGGTGTAAGGAAACGTGCCCAACGTTTCCACAAGTACTAGGTATCGAACACGGACACCCAGTATGTGAATGCGCTACCATTCTAGCCATGGGACACTATTCGAATTAGTTGAATGCAGCATATTGTGTATGAATCTAGGTACATACATACACAAATTATTAAGAAAGAGATTAGAATTATGCTTTTGCAGATTTCCTCTCACATATGCTTCCAGGAGTAGTATAACGATTAGATTTTGCCACCGAAGTGGCTAGTTTATTGTGCACACCATATCCATCCTGTGGCTGTGGACGGTAGCGCAAGAGCATATGGATACACAAAAGGCCCAAGAACTAGGCCCCAAAGGGTTAACAGGTGTACATATGGATTTATATCTACATATCTACGATTCACTTATCTGTTCCAAGCAAATTTAGGAAATTTGCTTAGTATATCTGATGTCTTATTTTCATTAATAAGATATCTAGACCTGTCACATAGGTTATTATACTGTCTCTGTATTCTTCATTAAGTGGACAATTTAACACATAGCATAACGGTGTTGATGAATTAGCGAAGTTAGTATTAAATGATGTGGAACGTAATTTTAATTTCTTGAAAAAGGTTAAAAAAAATCTTGTCAGAAAAGAACTGTTCAACGATTTTGAAGTAGAACATTGTAGAGGGGAACATGTGGGTCAATTAATTTTTGTATCATAATAAAATGAGTCATGTTAATTATATCTGCCGAGACAGTGTCAAGGTGGAGAGATAGCGAGACATTTCTGCCATTAGGTATATCGTCTACTACTACTATTACCGCTAATTCAACGACCACCACCACCACCACCACTACTACTACTACCACTACCACCACTACTATTACTACTACTACTACTACTACTACTACTACTACTACTACTACTACTGCTACTACTGCTGCTGCTGCTACTACTACTACTTTCATTATCGTCCCTATCGTTTGATCTTTTGGTTTTCTTTACTTTTCTCGCTCCAATTGTGATTTGACAATGATCCAGGACTGACCGAAACGTCGTCATAGCTTAGAACAATAACTACATTGTTAGGTAAGACACATATGCAACAGTTAGACAACTTTATTCCGAAACGTTTCGCCTACACAGTAGGCTTCTTCAGTCGAATACAGAAAGTAGGCAGGAACATTAGAGATGTGAAGACGATGTAATCAGTCCATCACCCTTGTAGTCGTAGAATTTGAGGTTGTCAGTGGCTCAGTGGCTACATTCTCACTACTACTACTACTACTATTCTGCACCTCTCCTTCCGACAGTATTTAAGTCTCCGCACTGTCGCTTGATCTTCAGATAGTTCCTGACTATGGAACTGAACTTCTCCAGGCCGAGGGACTGACAACCTCAAATTCTACGACTACAAGGGTGATGGACTGATTACATCGTCTTCACATCTCTAATGTTCCTGCCTACTTTCTGTATTCGACTGAAGAAGCCTACTGTGTAGGCGAAACGTTTCGGAATAAAGTTGTCTAACTGTTGCATATGTGTCTTACCTAACAACCTGTCGGTATTGTATACCATTTTGATGTTCAATAACTACATTAATTAATTCTTTAAAAATGAACCTACTCTCCTGCTTTTTCAACAATGCAATGCAGCAAAATTAAACAGAAGCGAGTTAAAGTATGAGTCACGCAGTGGACTGAAATCAGTAGAGATAGAGGGAAGATAGATGTAATGATAAGTAGTTTGATATAAATATTTAGATAACATGAGGACCTTGAGGAATTCAAGGTAAGGATAAGCAGTATTGTCTTGGTGCTGGCAACTATAGTCGGAAAATCTTTTGTCCATAATACGCAAGTACTGAAAAATTCAAAATGACACGTATAGGAGTGTATACGTTCTTACTGGCGGTATACTGCGTCCAGCAGAATCAAGCTCTGTTTATCGTTAAAGCTGAGAATAGCATCAATACTGGTAAGGCAGTGACTGAAGCTGAGGCCTCGTCTGCCTTCCACCATCAGCTGGAGGAAACGCCAGCCCAGAGTGCCTGCAACCTAACGACGGAGCTGGTGGCGGAAATCAAGGGATATCAAGAAGACGTGAATAAAATCATCGATTATGTGGTGCACGGAGACTACAAGGGTCAGACCTACAAGATGCTGGCCGAGCTGGTTGATACCTTCGGTCCACGGATGGTAAGTCAGCAACGGGAAGAAAAATCATCCGTCCACTCATAGCCGGATTATAGTCTTTATACTTTTGGACACTCATAATAGTAGGCCCTAAAGATATATTACAAATATACATCTGCATTGTATACAGAGTGTAGATCACATCAGGACCGAATTAAGTATTATGACTATGATTTGAGGATATAAATATGATGCTCTGCCTACAATAGGGTTTCGTGGCCTTGGGCAATGGATAACCCAGGCCTGCTCCTTGTGGGCACACTGAAGTACTCCAAGGTTTGAAATAAATTTTGTACCTGATTTACCCATCACGCTCCCAGTCTAGTGACCATGGAATGAAAAATAGGCTAGTGTAGAGTGGAACATATTAGGAAAATGTCATGCTCACAAGGGACTGTCAATCATAAGAAGGTAAAAACGGAGGAACGAAACGTCTTCACAATAACATGCCATAACCCGCATTGTGTGTTATATTTATATTCTTGAAGTATTAGTTTTCGAATTGGTCAGTCTCTCAACTTCTTGAATCAAGAACCCTTTACCATCATTTACCTAATGGTTGTTATCTGCTGCCGATCTATCCAGACTGGATCGGGACAACTGGAAGCTGCCATTGACTGGATCCTAAAGGTGTCAGAAACTGCAGGTCTGGAGAACACTCACACGGAAGATGTCGCTGTGCCTCACTGGGTCAGGTGAGGTCACGGGGATGACGTCTGTGTCAGGTGAGGCCACGGGGATGATATCTGGGTCAGATGAGGTCACGGGAATGATTAGGTTAGGTAAGGTCACGGAGATTGTATCTGGTTCAGGTGATTTCACGTGGATGATGACTGGGTCAGGGTACTTAAGCTGCTAGACTGTTGTAGGTAAAAGACACTTGTACACTGATTTGGTCATTTATTGTGGAAGCGTTTCGCCACGAGTAGCTTCAGTCCTTATGTCCGAAAAAGCCACTAGTGGCGAAACGTTTCCATGATAAATGTCTTGATCAGTGCGTACATGCCTTACTCACAACTTGTCGGCATTGCCGTGCCAGTCGTGATTAATTGCAAGGTCCGATTCTGACAGCAACAGCTCATGCTGAACTTTTTTTATTCTGGCGTGTCCAGGAACACGGAATCGGCCTGGATGACTCTCCCTCGCCTCCACAAGCTGAATGTGCTGGGTCTTGGGAGCTCGGTGGCCACCCCGCCCGAGGGCATCAAAGCGGAGGTCCTCGTCGTGAAGGACTTCGATGATTTGAAGACGCATGCAGACCAAGTGAGTGGGACCAACTAATGCGTGGTATGAGAGGGTGGAGGTGTGGCGCCCTTAACAATGTGACTGATGCGCAGTTGTGCATATGACATGCTTATGTGTTTATGAGTGTATGATGTGCTTATGAATTTGATGCATTTGTACAGTGTAAGTTGTATCGAGAAAATCAAATGGTATTTGAGCATTTATCATGTTTCTTTAGCTAAGTTGCCATCACTGGGAACGTAAGGAATTTAATCTGTAATTTTTTATAATATTCCTTCCTAGACTATTATCAAAATTACATTCCTGCGATTTGATAATGGTTGAGGAAGAACCGAAAAGTCGCCTAATTTCCATTTCTAATTCGCCAGATAGCTGTGAATCTCAGAGTGCTAAAACTTTCCTTTGACTATCAGGCGGCTGGCAAAATCGTGGTGTTCATCCCGGAGTGGGTGTCCTACGGGGTAACAGTTGCTTATAGAACAGATGGAGCTTCTAAAGCAGCCGAGGTTGGTGCCGTGGCTGCCCTCATACGTTCAACCACGCCTTTCTCTATCAACTCTCCCCACACGGGGCACCAGCAGTACACTGACCTCAACCACACTATTCCCACCGTCTGCATCGCCGTTGAAGATGCAGAAATGATGTTGAGGATGCAACAAAGAGGTGAGGTGAGAGTTTTTCAGTATTCTGGCGAATTTAACTTAATGAGACATGTGTATCGACGGTGGTGTGGTGGCTGCCACAACCTGGCCAGTACGACTGTATCAATGGACAATGTTTTTTTTTATTTTAATTATGGTGACGTTGCTGGCACGTGTGATCATCAATATGAACCATCACTATACTTCATCACTTCACGATTATTTCTTATTTCCACGTCTGGTTTATTGAAATTTATGGAATTTTAAATGAATTTCTCATCATCATATTAATGATTGAACACTTTACATTTTGAAATAGTTTGATAAGTACAGAACAGCACAGGAATAATAAAAGTGAATGACAAACGAAGCTTTTAAGAAATTTCCATCTGGTTAATCTACTATATTATTGGGGAAGACCTAAACTTGCAGGAGATACACAGGTTTAATCCAAGGAAAGCGAGGAGTAGCTCCCATTTCTTGGATCAAAAGTCCTTCAGAATAATTTGTTTTCAACACGTCGGCCGTCTCCCACCGAGGCAGGGTGACCCAAAAAAGAAACATTTTCACCATCATTCAAGCACACACACACACACACACACACACACACACACACACACACACCACACACACACACACACACACACACACACACACACACACACACCACACACACACACATACACACACATACACACACATAACACACACACATATTATATATATATATAAAATATATATATATATATATATATATATATATATATATATATATAATATATATATATATATATATATATATATAATAATATACACACACACACACAAGACCCTTTGTTATTAGCTTAATCAACCTAATGCTTACATGTAATAAGGAACTTAATGATGCAGTTAGACATTCACTTTATTCATGACCTAAGGCTGAAAGAAATCGCTATCACCATCTCTACTGTTAATAAATCAAATTAAGCAGTTAACTTTAATATAAAGTCAGCATCGCATTTCTGAGGTTATATATCTCATTGTGGTGTTCTGTGTCAGGTCAAAAGATGGAGGTACACCTGACAATGAGCGCCCAGACCTACCCAGACTTCATCTCCAGGAACACCATCACGGAGGTGCTGGGTCTCCAGTGGCCTGACGAGGTTGTAGTGGTGTCTGGGCACTTAGACTCCTGGGACGTGGGGCAGGGGGCCATGGACGACGGAGGTAGGCACCCCCAAACACTATTTACAATATGCAAACTCAGCTTCAACATAGGGACCATAGATGAAAGAAAAGGTGCCTCAAACACCATGTACAATATGTAAACAGAACCTCACTTCAAGGACCATTTGATGACGGAAGTAGGTGCCTATTAAGCAGGTTTATGCAACAAAAAATCCACAGAGGGATTACTCAACACTTTAAAGAATTTACTTAAAAAATTCAAATATATTTAAAAATTATTATACATTAAAAAAAAAAGGGGGAGCTACGGGCCAGGTATAGTCGATGACTATTCCAAAATTATGCCAGAATATTCTGAGTTACTTGTTAAATTTCATAACAGTTATCCCTGAGCTAAATACACAGGAACTTAGCTTTTCTTGCAGATTTTCAGGTGTTCCCGTAAATAGGTGGATTGGCTAGCAGGGTTTAAAGCCTATCCAATATACTGTTACCATTAATGCTGCACGTAACCTTTTCACTACCAGGCAGGAATACTTTAATCCCTAAAATAAGGGTTAAAGTAAACTCTCAGCATATATACGCTGAGAAAGATTCACCTGTCAGTGTATATACAACGTGACTTTTTTGAGTCTGAGAGTAACATGTCACCTTTGGACTGACGGGGACTGCTCATTCAACTACCGTTACACACACGTCCTTTTGGCAAGCTGCCAGAAGGACGAAAATTGCTTTCTTTGCTGAAAAGAAGGTCTGTGATGGAGGCACCTATTTACGTTATGGGAATGAGTTGACAGGTAACCCTGACCTAACAGTGCCCAACACACCATGAACCTTATGTCAACACAACCCGTCAGTCACGACACATAGGCTGGATTATTATCATTATATCCATGGGGAACGCTAAACTCGTAGGGGTCATGTAGCACTTGTGAATTGCGAGGTAATCAGGTTCAATTCAAGATAAGGGGATGAAAATATCTTGTTCCTTGGATCAAGAGCTCTTCACCAGTGAGTGTTGTGTGGTGTTGCAGGTGGAGCCACGATCTCCTGGAACGCCGGGGTGGTGTTGCAGCAGCTGGGTCTCAGACCAAGGAGGACCCTCAGGACCATCATCTGGACAGGCGAGGAGCAGGGTCTTTACGGTGGTCTGGTAGGTTGCTACCTTTTACTAGATGTACATGAATGGTATACAATACCGACAGGATGAAAATTAGGCACATGTACATCTGGGTATCTTTATTGTAGACGTTTCGCCATCCGGTGGCTTTATCAGTTTAAATTCAAGGATATAATTAGAAGACAGTGGAACTATATACGAGAAATGAGATAATCATTCCCTCAGCTGAGGGACTTGACACTTTACTTGTCACTTTACGACGGTTCCAAATACTCACGGCTGGCTATTATATAGGCCTGCCATAACTACATTCTTGCTGCTAGTTTCCCTCCACAAGCCTACCATAACACTCATGGGGGCCGGTACCAACTCACAAGCCTCTAATCATACGATAACTACACTCATGAGGCTGGTACTATCCCCCAGGTCTACCATAACCACACTCATGGGGCTAATACCATTCTCACAGGCCTACTACAACAATCACGTCAACGAGAGTGACAAGTTCCAGCTAATACTAGAGTCGGACGCCGGGACGTTCTCTCCGCTGGGCCTGGCCTTCAGCGGCAACCAGGAGGCCACCTGCATCATCCAGGAGGTGTTGAAGCTACTGCAACCCCTCAACGCTACACAGGTGAAGTAGTGCCTGGGGTAGCGGGTGATGAAGACTTCTATAGCTCTTCAACGCTATTCAGGTGAAGGAGGAGTCGAGGGAAGACTCATCGTCTCCCTACTCTTGTTGATCCATGGGCGTTAGCAGACTGTTGTGGGTGGCATCCTGGGAAATAGTAGTGTGCCTTACATAGGACTAGATATTGATATGAGTCGAGGAAGTATAACAGATTTTACCTGGAGTATACCTAGAGAAGGTTTCGAGGGTCAACACCTCCGCGGCCCGGCCTGGGATCAGGCCTTATTTTGCTCACAATTACCACGTTCCTCCTAGGCTAATAGATTTAAAGCCTGTCGGCTACACTAGAGTCATTAAAGCTGCAAGTAATCTTTTTCAGCACTAGTCAAGAATATTTAAATCCTTAAAATAGGGTTACAGTAAACTCTCAGCATACAGTATATACACTGAAAGAAATACATTTCTCGGTATATACTGTATATCCTTTTCCACCTACTTAGACTCATACTAGATTTTTAATAAAAACAGGAGCCCAAATATGTAGAACTATCTTATCCATTATTATTATTATATTCGTGGAGAAGCGGTAAACTCTCAAGGGGTAACACAGTGTCTAGGAAATGAGAGGAAATCAGGTCTGACCTATTGACCTTTATATCTAGAAGCAGACTTGAAACTGAAGTATTACTTGAGATCAGTCATGCCTTGAGGTGCTCTCGTGTATGTTACAGGTAGTCAGTCCCATGGATGGAGGACCAGACATAGAAGAATGGCAGAAAGCTGGCGTCCCAACAGGTAAGAATAGTTTCGCAACAATCTTCCAGAGACCTGATATGCCATTAATGTGACTAGTCCAACTTATGTAACTTTCCTCTGAGCTTTTCAGACAAATTGCATTTTGTCACATTTAGAAAACTCATCAGTGAGGTGCATAAACTGTTTATTTTTTTCATCTCAGGTAGTGTATAAATTTTCAAACGAAGTGTGAAGCAAATCTTTAGGCCTTAACACTTTTTCTAGGCTGCATCCTTTGATGTTTTGTGTATAGTTGGCATTGGTCCATCCAGGAAAAACAGGTGTTCTGTTATATATTTATGAGAAAGAGCTAAACCCATAAGTGCCATATAGGGCTTCAGGAACGAGAGGTAATCTGGACTGATTCGAAGGAGAGGGTAGCCCAAATTCACTGGAGCAAGAGCCACTTACAAGCATTAGTCCTCTCAAATATCTTGAGTTGTTGCCATCAAATGATGAAGTCTTTCGTTCGAGTTACTACTCCCGAGAACTTCTCGTGTTTGGTTGAAACTAATGGGAACTTGAGGTGACAGGACACTGTACCATGTGTTCCATCTTCATCAGCTTCACTGTACCGAGTGTTCCAGCTTCTTCAGATTCACTGTACAAGTTTTTTTTCCATCTTTGTCAGGTTCACTGTACACTGAGAGTTCCAGGTACTACTGGTTCCACCACTCTGACGGTGACACCCTCACTGTGGAAGACCCGGACGAGCTGGACCGCTGCCTTGCCGTCTGGACCTCTCTGGCCTACGTTGCTGCTAACATTACCCACAGGATTCCACACTCGCCCGTAGCAGATAAATATAGTATTCAAGGGGAAGCGCTTAACCTATGAGGAATGGGGGACCATCGCATAGTTTTCAGTTCACCTGAAGTCTATCACCTCACCGAGGTCCCACAGTTGCCCAACTGGAATTGATAATGAAAACCATGAACGTCCTGGAAGACAATAATTCAATTCCACTTTGGATAAAATGTTGAATAATAAACGTTTTCCCCCTCTTACAAATGTCTATGATTTACCAGTATTGTTGTGGCTTCATGTTACTTCAAGATATATAGCTATTTGAAGATTATTTATTAAATTAAGCAGTCATAAGACAAGCGTCAGAAGCCTTTTTGAGCGAGATGAGTCAACTATTTTCATATTCTTTTAAATCTGGGGGGAAGATCCGCATTATTTTTCTATTTTTTAAATTAAATTTATACACGTTAGCATAAAATAATATACATTACAAAGAGTGTAATGTATATCATATCAGTTTCATATACAAGAAACGGTAAAATAATTTTGATTACTCCCCTTCAGAATTCTGAATAATTCCCATTAATTTTAATGCATTCAACAGAGCTACTCTATTAAACAGGAAAAATCAGTCACCTCGTATTTACGGGAATAAAATTCTACCTGGAGAGGGTTTCGGGGGTCAACGCCCCCGCGGCCCGGTCTGAGACCAGGCCTCATAGTGGATCAGGGTCTGATCAACCAGGTTGTTACTGCTAGCCGCACGCAAGCTGACGTACGAACCACAGCCCGGTTGGTCAGGTACTGACTTTAGGTACCTGTCTAGTGCCTTCTTGAAGACAGCCAGGGGTCTATTGGTAATCCCCCTTATGTATGCTAGGAAGCAGTTGAACAATCTTGGGTGTTGTCTTTTATCGTACTTGTGGCGCCCCTGCTTTTCACTGGGGGGATGTTGCATCGTCTGCCGAGTCTTTTGCTTTCACATGGAGCGATATTCGTGTGCAAGTTTGGTACTAGTCCCTCTAGGATTTTCCAGGTGTATATAACCATGTATCTCTCCCGTCTGCGTTCTAGGAAATACAGGTTGAGGAACTTCAAGCGTTCCCAGTAACTGAAGTGTTTTATCTCCGTTATGTGTGCCGTGAAAGGTTATCTGTACATTTTCTAGGTCAGCAATTTCACCTGTCTTGAAAGGTGCTGTTAGTGTGCAGCAATATTCCAGCCTAGAAAGAACAAACAACCTGAAGAGTGGCATCATGGGCTTGACATCCCTAATGATGAATAAATAGGGGATGCAATAAAAACTGACAAAATACAACTTACAGTTAGTTATGAACTTCTATTAGAGGACCCTTAAACTCTTGAAGGACCCGTCCCCTTCAAAGCATAAATAACTCATTACGATTGTAATCAGATGTAAACATGTAAATAGGTCATTACCATTGTAACTTGGTCAGTTATCAAAACCTTGCGGCCCGGTTCCTGGATCCACTGTGTGCCTCTGTAATCTTTTAACTACTGCCCACAAGATAGTATCGGGTGCATAACCCAGATATTAAACAAATTCTTCAAAGACTTCTTCTGGCTGTCTGTGGCCAGCTCTACCCCTCTCCACTATGAAGAAATGACCCACATTTTACACCCACGTTCCATCTAAAAGATTTAGATTTTGCCACCGAAGTGGCTAGTTTATTGTGCACCCCATATCCATCCTGTGGAGGGTAGCGCGAGAGCATATGGATACACAAAAGGCCTAGGAACTAGGCCCCAAAGGATTAACAGGAATACATATGGATTTATATCTACATATCTATAGTTCACTTATCTGTTACAAGCAAATTTAGGAAATTTGCTTAGTATATCTAGTATCTTATTTTCATTAATAAGATATCTTGACATGTCACATAGGTTATTATACTGTCTGTCTCTGTATTCCTCAATAAATGGACAATTTATGGCATAGTGCTCAATAGAGTGACCATATGACTGATCACATAATTTACATTTAGTTTGATCATCATCTGTGTGTCTCCCAAACTGCCAGAAGTACTTGTAACCAAGCCTAAGCCTGCCCACTACATCAGTCAGTCTGTTCACATTGTAAGTTGCTCCATAAACATACTTATCTACGTTCATGTTATCATAGTGGGTTATAGATCTACTCAGGCTTCTAACTGCATTCCTATAACAATCATTTTCATTATTTACTTCTCTCCTAATATTATTCCTAATGCTAGACACAGTTATACCAAAGTTATATTTTCTACATTGTCCTTCTGGTACTTTTCTTGGCTAACATATCAACTTATCATACGGAGTAATCCAATGTGTGATGGGATCCATAACAATTGTACATTAATTCCTTTGTCCCTAATTTTTGAGTATCTATTCCTGGCTTCTCCAATAAAGCACGTTGTTGGAGTCATTATATGATCAAGAGCCTTCAATGATGACATAGAATCAGTAATGATGATAGACCGAGCTCAGTGTCATAGGTTAGCTTTTAGCGCCATTAGGTTTGCAAACAATTCAGTTTGCAGTGTAGACGCCAGTTGTTAATTCTTATGCCTAACTCAAACAAATTTTTTAAATCGTTTTTAACAAGGGAGGTGGCAACAAGAGCAGATGCAGGGCCCCGCCAGAAGACCCTGTTTAGATCCTCAGTGTATAAAAACTTGTGATAACTTATTACTAAACCAGCTAGGTGAGAAATTTCTTCTTGAGCAGTTGCTCTAACAAGAGATTTAAGGAAGGGATTACTAGCAATGAGCTTCTTGGGAGGGACTTGCAGGTATGTGATATTAAATGAACATATCTTCCACGGAGGGGTGAAATGCTCTTGTTGCCTACAGTGATAAGGAACTGAAATGGCTGGAGCCAAACCCAGCATTGCACGCTAAGCCCGTAGGGCGTCATACAGCGCCTGAGAAATAGCAGGCAGTCAGGTTTGATCCCGGAAAAAAAATAGGTGAAATTTCCTAGATCAACAGCCTCTCACCAGCACCAAGGAATCTTCCCTAGAAGGGTCTTAGCGTTGACACAGCCAAGTAAGTGGTTCAGAGATGAGGTCCTCATTATTATTATTATAATCAAGGGGGAAGCGCTAAACCCGGAGGATTATACAGCGCCTGGGGGGGGGGATGTGGAAGGCATTCAGGCTTAATTCGGGGAACTGGAGCACAGATCCAATTCCCTAAATCAAGAGCCCCTCACCAACATCAAGGAACCTTCCTTGAGGGGATGAGGTCCTCAACACTGACAGTCTCGGAAGCGCCGTTGTGTTCCTTGTTGATCTGTAGGAGTCGAGATTTCCTGTAGCTAAATTTCAATTTTGTTTTATAAAAAAAAGTGGTAAAAAAAATGCACCATAATGTAATTATCAAAATGTGATCTTGAATGTCAACCATGGTCAGGGAAGAGGGCAAAAACTAGCCACAAGGGCTAGTAGGTGCTCGATCTTCCGTCCGTCCGTTGCCAGAAACACCCTACCGAATTTTGCCCGTAGGTTTACCTATACATTGTTGATGCTAAAATAAGTAAATAAAATAAATAAATAATAATAAAAACAACAATAATAATTACGTCGAGGATAATAATAACAATAATAATAATAATAATAATAATAAATAAATAAATAAGATATCTTATTAATAAATAAATAATAATAATAATAATAATAAATAATAATAATAATAATAATAATAATAATAATAATAATAATAATATAATAATAATAATAATAATAATAATAATAACACGGTGTCTCGTAGCTCCATCGGTAGCTCACTCAGATCACACACTGAGGTCCAGAGTTCGAGTCTCCTCCGGTACGGCTGGAGAACATTAGGGAGAGTTTCCATAAGCTACCTATTGTTTATATTCACCCATCAGTAAAATAGGTACCTGAGTGTTAGTGGACTGGTGTGGGTCGCATCCTGGGACAAAACTGACCAAATTTGCCCGAAATTCTCAACAAAACAAGTGGCTTTCTATATAGTAGTATGTCAGTAATGTCAGCTATGGTCTGTATACCTTGTATATGTACTTGTAGTTAATAAAGATATAATGATAGTGGTGGAAGGACACAGGTGTCGTGGCTGTGTCAACAGTGTTGTCAAGGAATTCATCCATCCTCAAAACTGGCAACTTATTACGGAAAAAAACGATAAGTAGGTCTTTAACGAAATATATTTTATTACCTTTATCACCTTTGTAGGTGAAGGTCTTTTGACTGTGTCTGATACATTATATTTGCTGGTTTACATGCCAGGAGTTCTGACTTTTTTGGGTTATCCTGGGTTCTCTACACATATGCTGTTATGTATGCTATTGTAACCTTCTCAAGGGAGGTTCCTTGTCGCTGGTGAGGGGCTCTTGATCCAGGGAATTGGATCTGTGCTCCGGTTCCCTGAATTGAGCCTGAATACTTTCCATCCCCTCCCCCCACATGCGCTGTATAATCCTACGGGTTTAGCGGGTAGACCCGTGAGCCAGTGAAAGGCCTCGGTCAGATGACCAAAAGCTCCAGCTGCGGGCCATCGTATGATTAAGGTCCGCGTCAGGAAACGCTGGTTTCCTGGCAAATCTTACCTAACCTGGCCTAACTGTTTCAATTAAACCCTTGGGGGGAGTAGGATAGGATGTTTTGAATAAAGGTGAGAGGCTCTCGATCCAGGAAATTGGAGCCATCCCCCATTCTTGGATTAAGCCTATTCATCTTTTACTTAACTGTTTTAACTTTTAGCTGTATAGTCCTTGTGGCTTAGCACTTCTTTTTGATTATAATAATAATAATGTTTTAACTTTTAAGGTTGAAATATTAAGATATTACAAGGACCCAGTAGAAATAAGTCACTTTGACCTTTTATTTTTGGGTTATCCTAGGTAATGTACACATATTGCTATGTATGATAATTTATGTACCGTATTTTGCGGCTTATGAGACTAATTTTAGTTTCAATGGCTTGGCATTGGATGTGGTAGAGATACAGCCCACCCCACACCCCAAACTTATATCTCCCGTCACTTACCTTAGTTCAGTTTATAGGACGCAAGGAGGTTTTTGGAGACATTTTATGGAAAAAATGCATCTAATAAGCCACGAAATACGGTATCTGTATTTATTAATGTAAATACCTCAGTTTATCTTATTCCTAGTATATCTCCTTTTGACATAGTTGAGTTACCCATCTGTTTTAACTGTTAAGGTTTACATAATAGGATATACAAGGAAATAGGCAACTGTGTCTGACTTTTTTGGGTTATCCTAGGTAATCTACACATGCTGTGTATGATACTTTATGTATTGAAGTGTACCTATATTTGAATAAACTTAATCTAATAGTGCTAGTGACCCATGCAGGGTTAAAGCTTCTCCTTTAATGTGATATTCAGATTAAGTTATATACGAAGGTATATTATACTGTACGTAAGTAAATTGTACGCAGAAGTTAAAAATTTAATTGTGTTTAAAAAGGCAAGCATAAAAAAGTGACATATTTTATTTTGATGTAACCCAGGATATTCCTACAATTCATAAAAAATGTAAGTCCTGCAGCAGGTTTGTGTATCTTGCCTGGTGAAGGATGTTGGATTTGCGAGGCCGGGTGCTGGTGTACACCATTGTCAGCTGCCTTTACTGTCTTGCTGCCAAGAAACCCCTGAAAGACCTCGGGGTTCCGTTTATTGATGTACCGGTTTTAACGCTTTCCAGCCGTGGGAGCTGGGTGCAGGTAAGATACTTTTTAGATTACAGGGTCCCTCGCTTTTTGTAGTTTTTTAGCAATCGTAAATTTCGCCAATCATAGGGGTATTTTCGTATAAACATGGGTCGCTTTTCATAGGGTTTACTCGCGAATAGTAGTTTGTCCGGGGCGCTACGCACGGTTGAGCCGGGGCGGCCCCCCTACCCAGCCAGTCTGGCATTGTTACCATGAGTGAAGGTCCCCCTCCCAAATGCTCCTACGAAATATTTCATAATATTCCACCATTGTTAGCGAAATGATCGGGATGCGAAAGAATTTTCCCCATAAGAAATAATGGAAATCAAATTAATTTCCGTGCAAGACGCCCAAAAATAAAGAAAAAAAAATTTTACCATATGAAATAAAATTTTCCTACACACAAAGAGAAGGGTACATGCACATAGTAAGTTTGTACATGCACAATATATATTGTGGGATGTACTACTCTACTAAATGAAGAATAAATGACACTTTCCTTATTGAAGATGCAGCCCAAAGACTGATGAGACACTGTGTCCTGGGAGTGCCTTTTCCTCCTGGTACTGTAGGTCCGTTTGGCATTTTCTTCCAGAACAGGCCTTATCACACTGTGTATGCCACTACGATTCTTAAATCTCTCAACCAAACCCTTTTCTGGCTTTAAATTCACCAATATGAGCATTAGTTTCAGGCATTTTTCCCTGTTCACCCTGGGGGTTAGTTGACTGGTGTGGGTTGCATCCGGGAACAAGATTAAGGACCCCAATGGAAATAAGTTAGACAGCTTCGATGACACTGACTTTTTTTTGGGTTTCCTGGGGGCAAATCCCTGGGGGGAATTGTTTCTTGGTATTTTCAAAAAGCCCACCAACAAAAGTCTAAACGCACAGCAGCAGCCCGCTGACAGTGCTACACAGCAGCAGACGATGCTACAGCAGCACAGCAGCTGATGGGGGTACAGCAGAGCAGCATGACGTGCTACGCGCAGCAGACGATGCTACAGCAGCCAGACATGCACGCAGCAGAGACGGGACTACAGCACAGCAGCAGCGACGGGGACAGCACACACAGCACTGACAGGTCCCGCACACAGACATGCTACACAGGGAGAGACGGTACTACAGCAGCAGCTGGGGTGGACGCAGCAGCAGCAGCTGACAGGGCAGCGCACAACACTGACGGGGGACAGCAGCAGCAGCACGTACCCCAATAGAGCGATGGTTTTTTGGGGGGTTATTAACAACCTGGCCCGCTCGGGAACCCCCCCACTTTCATACTTATCAATGATCTTTTTCTTTTCCTATAGTAATTCTCACCCTTATTGCTGTAGGGTTGGCCCAAAAGCTTTTTTGGGCCCATGGGCACTTATTTTGCAGATAAAATCACCAAAAACACGTAAAAACAAATGTTCCCATTGTATGCTTTTGGGTGTTACCGCGGAGGCTGCTGGGGAAACAAGCCACCGCGGGACTGTGAGCGGCTAAGGCGCACATTTTACCGTCTCGACGACGAGCGGTGAGCGGGTTTTTGAGCGGTATGCAGGAAAATTTTTGCGATAAAGCGAACGGGATGGGATTTTAACGTTTCTGATGCCACAGAGCCGGGTCCCTTTTA